CGGCCCCTCCCCCCACCCTGCAGTGCCCCTGCAGCTCCTCGGTGAGTGGGGGAGGGGCGGGGGGAGTGGGCTCAGGTGAGCTCAGGTGAGCTCAGGTGAGGTCTCACCTGTTTCCCTCCCCCCCCCAGGGAGCAGCCAGAGCTCTCAGGTGCCGCTGCTGAGGGACAGCGACAGCTTAGGTGAGGCTGGGTGATTGACAGGTGTCAATCATGGCGCTGGGAGGGGACTGGGAAGGAACTGGGTCCATACTGGTCCATACTGGTTTGTACTGGTCCGTACTGGGAGGCGCTGGGTCCGCACTGGGTGCAGGGCCCGGTTCTGAAGCTCAGCAGGGTCAGCCCCGGTCACGGCCTGGATGGGTGACCTGAATTGGTGCATTATACTGGTTTATACTGGGAGGCACTGGGGCTGGACTGGGAAGAGCTGGGGCCTCGCTGAGGTTGTACTGGTCCATGCTGGTTTGTACTGGTCCGTACTGGGAGGCGCTGGGTCCGCACTGGGTACCAGACCCGGTTCTGAAGCTCAGCAGGGTCAGCCCCGGTCAGGGCCTGGATGGGTGACCTGGAATGGTGCTTATACTGGTTTATACTGGGAGGCACTGGGGCTGGACTGGGAAGAGCTGGGGCCTCACTGAGGTTGTACTGGATCCATACTGGGCCATAGTGGTTTGTACTGGTCCATACTGGTCTGTACTGGGAGGCGCTGGGTCCGCACTGGGTGCAGGGCCCGGTTCTGAAGCTCAGCAGGATCAGCTCCGGTCAGGGCCTGGATGGGTGACCTGAATTGGTGCTTATACTGGTTTATACTGGGAGAGACTGGGGCTCATCTGGATCCATATTGGCCCATACTGGTTTAAATTGGCCCATACTGGTTTAAACTGGCCCATACTGGTTTATACTGGTCCATACTGGGAGGCGCTGGGTCCGCACTGGGTGCAGGGCCCGGTTCTGAAGCTCAGCAGGATCAGCCCCGGTCAGGGCCTGGATGGGTGACCTGGTTCATTATACTGGTTTATACTGGTCTATACTGGTTTATACTGGGATTGTACCGAGCCCCTCCCCTCCCCCAGCCCCCTCAGGACCCCCCCCCAGCGTGCTGAGGTACCTGGAGGAGCAGGTGAACACCTGGACCCCGCCCAGAGCCCCCGTCTATGACACAGGTGGGGGCTGGGGGGGATTTGGGGGAATTTTGGGGAAAATTTGGGAAGATTTTGGGAACATTTGAGGAGATTTTTTGGGGAAGATTTGGGGGAGATTTTTGGGAAGAATTTGGGAGAATTTGGGG